TAAACAACGCTAAATCCTACAAGGGAGCGGAAATAATTGTAGGGTGTTAAGCCACAACGACTCACAATGCAATTATTTATAAAAAAAAAGACGAAAAAAGGGGCGCAATATGGATTCTTTCCGAGAATTTTACACGAATAGTTGTAAGATGCGCCAAGACTCGGCCTAGAATGTCAGCTATGGAGATTCGGAATGAACTGAACCTGGCCTACGGTGTTCATACAGTGAGAAGACTTCTACATGAACATAATTTATATGTCCGCAACCCTATAAGTACCGTTATTAAAAAAAAATCATATAGGAAGTTATCTTAAATTTGCCAAAGGACCGATTGAGAATTTGCCAATTGAGAAATGGCGCAACATCTTGTGGACAGACGTGTTGAAAGTTATTCTATATGGCGGTAAAGGGTCCCTTCTGTATCTAAGGCGCTCCCCTAATAGAGAGTACGAAACCAGATTCAGCACAAAAACTATGAAGCTTGGCGTTTTGAATTTCATGGTTTCGTGGATATAATGAGGATATCCCGCTGAAAAGGATATTTCAGCAGAGTAATGACCCGAAGCATACCAGTAGGGTGGCAAAGGAGTGGTTACGGGTCAATGGAATTGAAGTCATGGATTGGCCAGCTCAATCCCCTGACCTCAATCCCATTGAAAACCTTTGTGCAGACGTTAAGAAGTGGTATGGAATGACAAATTCAAAAACAACAATGAGTTGTGGACCGTAGTGCAGCAAGCATGGCAGAACATAGCACTAAAAAGATGCCAGAGTCTCGTAGATTCTATGAAGAGGGTTGTATTGCTGTTATTAAAAATCATGGCCATGCTACCAAGTACTAATATCTCGTATAGACGGAACCTCCAAAAATCCTTCAGTTTAAAAAAAAAAAAATTATTACTTTACTACTATTTTACTGCTCCCATCAAATTTCATATATAAACACAACTTTGTGAATAAATATATCTTACACCCATTCAAATTAAAATATTTTTATTAATAAACGTAGCCAGGGAAATATGATAAACTTTTCCGTTACAATTGATGTTAAAATTGTTTAGAATTTTGCATAACTCACAGGTATGTAAAACTCTAACACCCACTACTATTTCACTGCTCGCAGCTGTATGTATATATGTAGTTAAAGTTTGGTATGAAGAAAACGGGGCTTGTTTTCAGCGAATGCTTTCATATCAAATAACATCATTATTCTTTCCTTTCTTTCACCATATAAAAATTAGTATATTTAATCTAACAAAAATTTAGGTTGTGCCTAGAAAATTGAAGCAATACACTTATGTAAAGTTGTTCCTCTTTTTCAAATTTGTTGCACATTTAATATTTTACGACAATGAATAAAAAAATACTACATGAATATATTTCTGGTAACTTTGGCAGCCTTCCACTGTTTATTCCGAAGCATTTAATGGCCAATTGAGTACTATTAGCGAATATTTATTTTAATGCTGATAACGAGTAATCACAAAATAATTATTAGTATGTGAACAACCATCAATATAATTGTTCTAATATTCCACTTGTCCATATGCTAGTACTCACTTCATAAATAAAGGTAAATATTAACCATACATAAAGTTACAGATTTATGGAAAACTTGTTAAATCAAAATATATTACCGCTATCAACGCAACAAAAGTGAGAGCGATTGAAGCAGCTGGCTAATATGTATTACAATGTCAATATAAATTAGGATTAATTGGCTTAGCACACTTCTTTTTTTAGTGTGAATATTTCATCATTTGTGTGCTGTAAATATAATGCATAAGTATTTAAATATGTACACACTTCAAAATTAAATCATCTCTAAACCGAGGCAGCACACTTTGCTTATTTATTGATGACTACTTTTGACTATACAAGAACTGATTTTGAATTTTCTTTGCCATTTTATATCCTATTGAACTAGCATGGTAATATTTCTCACACATTCAATAGTAAAAGTTAATCAAACATTTTTGATATCAAAGCGGCATATTATATTTCGCAATAGTATGTTTGATTCTGATCAAAGATAGCATTTTCTCAGAACATTGCATTTACTTAAGCGAAATGATATGCATGTTTATTTACGAAACTTTATCCACATATGCATATAATGTTCACATCAATAACTTGTTTTGCTAATAAAAAATGAATTATAGTCCTCTTTTCTACCGAATAAACACAGCAGACGGAAATATATTGCAGTTGCAGAGCTACGCCTCCATTTCTTTGCACATATGTTTACATTTTACTTTCATGGCATAAATAAAGTAAACAAATGTGACAAGTACTCACATTTTATAACAATTATTACAGTTAAATAGTTGTACAATTCTTTTAGTTGCACAAATCCACATAAAATCTCCTATTTACATAAAATTGTCGTATCAAACTGTTTTGCTTTTTCGACACTGACTTTTCTCTCCAGAAACTTTCAACCTATGTTGTTGCCAGACAGTTAAATATATAAAATTTTAAATGGCAGCGGTTAATGTGAAAACTATAATTTTATATCAAGTTTAATAATAATAATTTTAACTAAAATTAGTTGGTCATTTTTTAAATAGCTTAGATTATTAAATAATTATAGTTATCAGATGTTTATGTGGAGACGRTTTATCATCTATTTACAATCTGGTAGCTTGAAAAATAAATCAGCTGCTCGCCGCAGTGTTGCTCTTTTACCCTTTGGGAATTCTTGAATTTTAAACTATTTAATATATATGTATGTTATATATTATTATTATTTCATTTATAATTTATTAACTTCAGTCTTTGTTAATAAAAAATAATTGTTAAACATAAAGAGGCAAAACAAAGTGCGAATGAAAAAGGTTGACGCACAAGCTAACCTCTTATTCATGCTACTATGTTCGTGCCTTTGCTAACAGCTCATAAGTGAGCATTCACAATAGTAAATGTTTATTACTTGAAAGGTGTGATACAAATCAACTATAATTTTTATTCCCTGAGCAGGGTATATTATGTTTGCCACGAAGTTTTTAACACGCAAAAGGAAACGCTGAAGTAATTTATATACATTTATAAAAAATGTACAGCGTGACGAGCTGAAACGATTTAGCCCTGCCCATCTCTCTGACTGTATACATATTTTTTGTACATATGTATATGCCAAATAGTCACTCAGTTTATTTTAGATATTTTATGAAATTTTTCACACCTCCTTTTCTCCCCAAGAAGCTGCTGATATCGCACCGCTGTAGCATATAAACTGACCGATCCAAATCYAGTCTTTTTGTGGAGATCTTTTTTTTTTTAAACGATATATTTTCATCAAGTTTGGGGCGGATTATTATGAAATGCGATTAAAATTGTATTAAGAGYTTACAGCCCCAAATTCGGAGTTCGGTGGCGTTATGCTCTTAACACAATTCCATTTTCGTACAACTTRACGTATGAGTAACATTTATGCTTCCACGAATCGTACAAAGTATGCGAAATGCATTTGGATCACGATCACTATCAGTTTGCTTACTTATATAGACTTTAGCCTTGARTAGGCGTTTCTGTGAATTAAGAGATTACAAAAACACTTAGTTTATAAGCAGTTGTGCGGAAAAYAACGCTTTACGCTTAATATGCCCATATTTCACTTGTTTACAAAATTTTTGGCACTTTGGAATTTACCGCTCCATTCGCAAATAACATAGTGCATGTACACGTACGAACATGAATTCATACATTTTTTGACATTTATCAACAGCTCTTTATTTACTTGCGTTTTAACGTCGAAATTCAATTAAAGTAGCCGGTATGATAGCATTTATATTGCTTTTAAGCGAATAATACGCTCTTTTGGCAAATCTGATTAAGAATTCAATGCTGTGAAAATGCGTTCAGATAGTTGAAGAGAAGAAAAAAAAAACAATTATGGTTAAAATGAATTTTGCAAATGGTTAAATAGTTATCTGCCATGCAGGGAAATTTCCATTGCTAATGCTTAATGGGTTTAAACACTTAACTGTAGTGAGAAAAAATTGAAAAACAAATTTTGTTGGTTTGCACTTAAAGACTTATTTGTTATTATTATTTTTTTTTTACTAGAAAATATTTATGCTGATATTTAACATTTTATTGCTTGTATTGCTTGTATTTGAGATACATAACACTTGAGATATTTATCATTTTATTGCTTGTATTTGAGAGGCAACTTTTTTTTCGAAACTTGAGGAACACCAAAAGTATAAATGGCAGCAATATGATATAATAGTCCGATCTGAACAATATGTTCAGAAATTGTAGTTATACTTTGGATAAATATTTTTTGTGAAATTTTGTGGAAATACCTTGTCAAATAAAAAAGTGTTCCTTACGAGGACTTACTATTGATCGATTAGTTCATTTGGTAGCTACCTCTTACAGTGGTTCAATATTGGCGATTCCAACAGATGAGTTGCTCTTTATGAAGAAAAGGATGTGTGGAAAATTTCAGATCGGTATCTCGAAAACTGAGAGAATAGTTTGTTTCTTTACAGAGAGATAGACGGACGGACATGGGTTAAATGGGTTACTGTATGAAAATCTCATTTTATATAACTCTTTAACCTGAGTTCACGTTCAGGAATACGAATTCCCGTTAGTTTCCAAATTTKTACTATTTTCATCTCTATCCTATCCGTACGTTTAAGCAAAATATTTCCGTGGAAAGCACAAATGYTTGCTAAAACGAATTTCTAATTACTAAGGTCATTCCTAGCGAGGTTGCCATGGTTACGCGCGTTTGTTTTGGCTAGCCTTTAAATGTTGTGTTATACATGTGTTCAGAAGGAAACTACGAAACTCAACACAGTCCAGACAATTAGAACGACAAATTGCAGAAAAAATAGCAGAAACAAAAAATTGTGGCTTTTGACACACACACGCCCAATAAACACACAACAGCTCAATTAAGGAAATTATTTAAAAAAAAAAAAAGACAAATAAGCAAAGACTCATAAAAAAGTGAAAACAATTCGTGAGTCATACTATATTGCCAACATCAATCGCATGGCCAATGCGGACGAGATTGTGTGCAATGGGCACGTAATAACGTTGCCCACGCTCGAGGTAGTCAAAGCAGGTACGTTTAATATTTGACTAATTTTTGTCTCTCACAAATTTATTTTAAAATTTTGTTACCTTCAATTAGTTCCCATCATGGCGGCTGGCACAAACATCGATTGGTTGCTCCATCTTTACTACGCGCGAAGTGATTTTGTACGCTGTCGTCTAATAATCGAACGCGAGCTGCACAAGAGCCTCAATCCGGAATACATGTATTTTGTGAAGGTGTGTAAATAATATATAATAGTGTGTATGTTGTATATGTATGGGTTGGATGAAAAAATATTTACAGGCATATACATACTGCTATATTTATAAAGGAAACTTTTTAAAAGCATATCTTTAGGAGCCAAAGATTTTTTTTCAGATTGTAAAGAGGTTAAACATAATTACTTTAGATACATTTTCTTTAATATGTTAATATAATTTAAAATAACTAGTCAAGAGTAGAATTTTCAAAAACAAAATTGTTTTTGGTGTTTTGCTTATGGTAAACTTACTGTATTGTCATAAAAATGAGTTTGAAGTTGATTTGTGGTTAAGAAAATTTTTTCAAACTCTTTAAACGGTATTTTAAGCCCACATCTTCCTTCTTCTCTTCGAAAATACCAAATTAGTTATTATTTTAAGCTTTTATAAACCATTTTTTAATGTTAAATAATTTTATGCAAATGGAAAATTTTAAGTTTCTCTAAAATCATCTGCCAATTCAATTCTTAAAGCAACCGTTGTATGCAAAGCGACAATAAAGGTTTCAATTTGCTACGCATGCCTGCATATACACATGTATGTACATATATACAAGTATTTACAAATGTAGCCATGGCTAATAAACTCGTCCTTAACACTGTCTGCATATTTCTTATCGCACCAATTTCCTGCTGACCATCATCTGAATGGCAACATACTTAGGGCTTAATTGACCGTGAAGAGGGTAACAACATCGAAGCGTTGCGCAATTTACAAAAGGCCCTCGACTTAAATTCCAAGAATATTGAAACCTACAAGGAGATTGGCAAAACACTGTGAGTAGACGTGTATTTATCTTTTGAGTGCTTAAATATATGTACATACTTGTATGTGTGAATTTCAGTATATATATGTGTCTAATTATGTAAATACGTAACCATGCATAAAACACTTAATCTTATAATTACATACATATGTATGTAGTTACATGTCGGTTAATAGTGTCATTGTGGTTTGTAGAAATAACAATTATGTACTCATACATCACATTTCTAAGGAAATGTCACATAAAAATGCTGAGATGTTTCTGTATGCAGGTACATATGTACATACATATATGTTATTGGCTTAAATCAATATATGTACATACGTACTGAAAGCTTAACTATTTACATTGTAACAAAATACTAGTGGTTTTCTATTCGTTAGACATCAGAGAGTGGTGAATTGAACAAATAACTGGTATAAGAACAATATAAAGTTGTACTCATACATATACTTGTACAGAGTTTTCCAATAAGAGTGATATTTACAAAACAAAAAAAAAAACACACTTATCGTTAAGGAAATTTAAAGGTTTTTTTTTATTAAATGTGTAGTACAATCGATACAATTAAGTTCTGTATACAACATTATCCAAATGGCCTCACCGACATCTTTTGCAGAAATGAATTCGATGAACCCCACTGTCGAGTACTTTTTCCACTAAATCAAGTGGTATGTCATGAATAGCACGTTCAATATTGACTTCTAAAGCTTGAAGAGAGTCTGGTTTATCGCTAAAGACCGGTAACTTCAAATAATCACACAAAAAGTAGTCCAATGGTTTTAAATCACAACTTCTTGAAGGCCATTCAATGTCATAATTACTTAAAATAATCCAGTCTCGAAACTTTTCTCGCAATAATATGGCGATGGCACATGCTGTGTGGCACGTAGAGCCTTCTTGTTGGAACCGGATGTTGTTAAGATTAACTTCTTCCAAGTACGGTCACAAAAAGTTGTTTATCATGTATCTATTTCGCTCTCCATTGACGGTAATGGTTACCAGCTTCATTTCGACAGAAGCATGGACCGATGATTCCACCAAACCATAAACCACACCAAACTGTCAATTTAGGTGATTGTATTGGTTGTTCATGAAAAATTTGTGCATTTTCTTGGCACCAGAATCGACAGTTTTGTTTGTTTAACGGACCGCTCAGATGAAAGTGCGCCCCATCGAAGCAGATGATTTTCTTAAAAAAATCCTTATCGTTTTCAAGTTATTCCAAGGAAAAATCAGCAAATTCACTACATTTACCGCGATCCAATGGCTTCAGTTCTTGAGTGAGAACAGTTTTTAACGGATGCAAAACCAAATACTTTCTTAAAATTCGCCAGGTTGCAGTTTCAGATAGTCTCAATTCTTGAGAACAACGTGGAATCGTCTAATTGCGTTCTTCAGCAGCACTCATCCGAACTGCAGCAACGCACGAAAAGTTGCAGTTGGAAAACGATTATTTTGATAATAAAATTGAATAAAAAAAATTGGTAAACGCTGTGTTTTGTTTATCTTTCCATGTTAAAATTGTAAACATTACATATTCAAAATGGCCAAAGTGATACTTAGATATCATATCATCTATATTGGAAGACCCTATATTTATAGTAATTTAAAAAGTAATATCGACACCTACATTAGAACATTAAGTATTCAATGGAAAGTTCTTTTCAAACAGTTTAAGCTCAGTATACTTGCAGGGTGTGTATACTGAGTTTCCATTAGATAAAGTTAATATGGGGCTAACTTTGGCCATTTATTTACTTGTTCATCAATATTTATTTTGCCGCCTTCAAAGTAATCCCCGTCAGATGTAATTTATTTATGCCAATGACTTTCCAGTCCTCGAAACACTTTTCATAAGCAGGCTTTCAGCTCCTTCAGCGAATTTTGTTTTATCTTTTCTATCGACTGAAAACGGGTTCCACGGAACGGCAATTTCAGTTTGGGGAACAAGAAAAATCACACTGAGCCAAATCTGCTGAACAAAGTGGTGGATCGATGGTATTCTTTGCGTTCTTGGCTTTAAATTCGATCACAATCAATTATTCTTCTACCATTCCGGTAATTTTCGATAGATGACAGCGTTTGCGTGACGCTTCAATACGCCCAAATAGAACTCCTTATTGACCTGACCGTCTGCCCTCCTGAAACAAATTCTTGATGAACCAAACCACAAATATCGAAAAAAAACAATGAGCATCACCTTGATTTTTGAGCGGCTTTGACGTGGTTTTTTTTTTTTTTGCTTTCGGCATTTTTGCATGTTAAACTCATAACAAATGTCTCATCAACAGCTCTAATGCTCTCCATGAATGTGGGTTTGGAATTCGCAAAAAAAAATATACTTTTTAAAAATATCCAATTTCATGTCCCTTAAGCGCTATCATTTTGCTGTCCATCATGAACAAAAAGAACACTGTAACACTTTACTCGAAAGTAAATGTTAATGGCATTTTTTTAATCAGCTTTGTCATTTTTGACGCCATCATTCATTACAGCTTCATTATGGGTCGTTTCAATCAGGCGTTGGATATTTTTCGCGAAGCCGAAGAGCTCGCCCCACGACAGGACCATGAAATTTGTCATTTCATCGGTGAATTGTTGCATCGCTCAGCGGCGACCGCCAATCAATTAACAATTGCACGTCAAGAGGAGGCCGAGGCGAAAATGTACTTTGAAAAGGCCGTGCAAACCGGCAAGAAGCTGGAGAGTTTCCAACGGCTCGCCGAAATACTGCGCAAAGAAAAGGACTATGCCAAGGCCATCGAAGTGCTCGAGAACTGTCTGCTGTAAGTTGTATACTTTATGTATGGTATGTACTCGTGTGGTTGAGATTGAGGTGAAAGTGCAAAGCAAGTAACCATCTCCGAAAGCGTGTTGATGGACTTTACAACAAACTTACAGAAAAGATCTTTTGGAAACTTTTGTCTTCACACTCTATAGCATATATTATTGAATTGCATTTGTTGAGTGTTTAATTAAATTGTTGCTATTTTAAATTAAGTATGTCAAAGTACTTTCGGTGTTAATGGCTTTGTTGTACTTTTTGTATAAAGAATACATTTATATAACTGCATATTTTTAGCTTATCACCCGAAAATATTGAAGTGCTCACGGAGATTGGTGTTTTGTATTTGAAAATCAACGACAGCCAAAAAGCTTTCGCTCGCCTATCTGAAGTTATCGCTTTGGATAGGAAGTGTCCGAAAGGATTGTTGGCTTATGGCGCCATATTGCAGGTAACTGATATATTTGAACATATATGTATATTTCATGTATAATATATTTATTTATTTTTCTAAAGGATATCTACTTCTGTTTTTAAATAAAATGATAGTAATATAATGATAACGATATTAATTGCATTTTATCTTATTACATTTTCTTTCCTTAAGTTTACTTATTATTTTTTTATTTCAAAAGAAATCTCTACATTATTTCCATTTTACATTTATTTTTATACTCTGAGCAGAATATACATATGTATTAAGTTTTCCGAAAAGTTTCTAACACGCGGAAGGAAATGTCGAAGACCCTATAAAGCATCTATGTATATGTATGTTCGTGGGGAGCTGAGTCGACTTAGTCATGAGATATCGATCTGAAATTTTGCAACTGTTGTTTTCTCAACAAAAAGTTGCTGGTTTGTGGAAACCGTAGCTATTGGACTACTAAAAGTAGTAGTTGCCCTACAAACTGATCGATCGAAATCTAGTCCTTGTATGGCAATCTTTTTTATTTGCAAAGATATCGTTATGAAATTTGGCACACATTATTGTCCAAGGCAACGGTATAATCTCCCAAAAAATTGTTCAGATCGGATCACCTTAGCATATAGCTGCCATACAAACTGACCAATTTATATCAAGTTCCTGTATGGAAAATTGTATAGCAAAACATTTTCCGTTGGATGAAGCCTTTTGGTTATTAATTGTTTTAAGGGAAATTTACATATGTATATATTCTAAAGCGAATTTTGTTTCCTTTGAATATATTGTTCAACCATTAAGGTGTCAAAGCTAGTGCTACTGTTGCATTAAGGGGGAAGCATGCTTTAGAGGCTTTAAAAAATCGATTGTTTTGAGATTTTTTTTGGGAGTTAAAGAAATAGTTTATTATAGCGAAAGTAATAGGGTTTATAGTTCTATATTTAAACATCATCTGTAAATTTTTTGGATACGAAATCTTTGGTATTCTGCCTTTGGAAAGCAATTGCCCGATGCATCTCGCGTGTGCATTTGCCGCACGGCGGGCAAGATGCAGGTCGCAATTGCTATCGGAAACAGAAAATTCAAAGAGATTAATATTTGTTAATAACTCATCTTCTAGTTAAACTAAGAAAACAATTTTACAAATTTTTTAAAAACTGAAAAAAGTGGTTTTTGACAAAAAAAATTGTACATTAGGGTTTTAAAAAGTATGTTCAAACTTGACTTTTCTTAGCTTTTTTTTAGTTCAAATAGAAGGTAATTTAATGCCAAAAATAATAAACTTTGCCCCAATTCCATACGACGTTTAATTTTTCTTCTATCCTGCCCGCCAATTAATAAAAATTGTAAAAACGAAAAACCGAGAAATCGCGTGTCAAAGTTTTCGCTTTATCCTCAAGCGCTTGGATAATGTCAGAAGTGAACAAGAGAGAGAATAATATTTTTGTACGCTTGCAACGTGTTGCTATAGAGTATAATAGTTTTGTTCACCTAACGGTTTGATGTATCACCTAAATTTAAGCGAGATAGATATAGGGTTATATATACATACATATATGCATAATGAGAAGAGTTAAAATCCGCGTTACTGTCTGTCTGTCTGTCCGTCCATGCAAGCTGTAACTTGAATACGGAAGCTATCCTACATTAAAATCCATCTTTCTCATTTTCTTATGTCACAATGCGAAAATGGGCGGAATACAACCACGCCTGCTTACCCATATAGCAAATGAAGACATAATTAACGGGATAAAACTTTGCCCTAATAATTCCTTTAAATTATGCCAGCTTATGACCAAAAATTGTCCAAATCCAACCAAAACTGTTCATACTCCTAGTTATCGAATATGTACACTCACACAATAGTATCTATAGTTGACTTTTGACCGAAAATATTGGTCAATGTCCGGGCTATACAATTGAATATCAAAATTGAGTCCTTTTTAGATTTAAACAGCTCTAACGGTACTTAAATAATCGCTGAAAGGCATTAAAACTTGTATATTTCACTTTTGCTAGAAATTTCCTAGATAAATATTTTATTTGTTGACATTTGGCAAACGTAACTCAAACTTGATATATGTACATTTCAAATATATCTGGTTTACAAGTTTGTTTGCTTCAATTTTGCAAGTTTCGTTTTTATTTATTTTCACAAGTTTTCTCTTAAATATGGGATAAACGCACAGTTTTTATTCGTTTTCGCGAATAAATTTTTCATATTTTCACATTTTTCTGCTTTCTCCTATTTCGCTGTCACATTGACTCAATGTCCACAGTCTCGAAACGATGTCGACGGCGCCTTGGAAAAATATCAAGAAATCGCTTTGACAGAACCGGACATACCAGAATTGTGGAATAACATCGGATTGTGCTTTTTCAAAAAGAAGCAACAAAAAGTGATTGCGGTATGTAGGAAGAAACAAAATGAAATGCAAATATAAATAAAAAATAAGCTATTATTATATAATATTCATGTAGTCCGAATGAAATAAACGTCTGCCAAGTAAAACGTTGATATCCTGCGGCGTTGAATTGAAGGCACTGCTTTGACATGGACAAGACATTCATATTCGCATTTATTTGAATAAATGTTAAATAAAAACTTTATTAACACCATTTCGCTTGAGATACTTAGTTGAAAGTAAAGCAATAAAAATTGCTGCGTAAACTTAGATTTAAACTCTCGCAACATATTGCTGCAGAGTATAATAGTATTGTTCACTCAGCTGTTATTTGGAACATATAAAACCACTCGAGATGGATATAGGGATTAAACTGACGAGATGAATTGATTTCCAGTTGCACTTTGTATAAAGAGTGCTTTTAAGGTGTGTCGATCCAAGTCTAAAAATGGTCAAAAGAGGTGGACCCCGGTGCCTATGCTTTACCTTTTACCGAAAATATTGATGAATCTGCGAAATATATTATTGAAATTCGGAGAAAATCCTTATTTATAATAGTATTCCCTTGTGTCAAAAATTGATAACAACGTGTAAATATTTTCCTTAACAGCAACATGCCTAATAAAAAGATATGTGACTTCTGGTTGACTTTATAACATATACTCAATGCTTAATACGAGTATGTGAGTTGTCCTTGTGCCTCAAATAGCTAAAATCGGGAGACAACTTCCTCTTCCTTTTATAAAGTATACCAAATGTAGAATTTTCACACTTCGGGTCAACTTTATATCATTTCGATCGGTCAGGTGCGATTTCTTAATGAAAGTCATAGAAAATCATTACTTGATAATGAAATTGTAATAATGAAATTAAAGAAGCCAATGACCATGAATATAAGTAAATATGGTACCAAATCTGATTGTAATCCGTTCCCGTTTTCGTCAAAATAACTCCTATGTCTGTCCTTCACCCTTGCACAGTATGAAATGTTTCTGAAGTTAGAATTTCTTTACTTGTTAAACACAATTTTTTCATATGAGTATAGCATCTTGAGGCTTTTATTGTTAATATTTGAATTTTATGGTCATATTCTTGTGGCTTTTTAACTTTTTCTTCTATTCTTATTTACAGGCGGTTTCTTCGCTGCGCAAATCGATCTGGCTTTCACCGCTTAATTACAATGCCCTTTATAATTTGAGTTTAGTTTATATAACAGGTGAGTGTGATATGAAATTAATTATTATATTGCAACAAATAGAAAGGGCTCAATACGGATGTAACCGAGCATTTTATGCTCTTGTAACTTGCAAGGATCAATATTTGTATTTTATTAGGTCAATTGGGTTTTTGTTTACATTTAGCCAACTCCACAGCCTTTGTTTAAAATAAGCCAAATCACCAACTTTTCTTTACATTTTATGGGGTCCAAATTATTATGATTATGAGGTTACTGACCTTTTGGTTTACATTTTTCCGAGTTTACATTTAGGAGGTCAATTAAATTTTTTGTTTACGTTTTGCCAAGTCCAGACCCCTTGTTTACATTTAAGGCCAATGACCTCTTTTTTATATTTAGCGACGTCCACCACCGTTATTTACTTTTGTTTACACTTACTTGTCTTTTTTATAATTGTGAGTTGCTCAGATTGGACTACTATAGCTCAAAGTTGCCATACAAACTGTTCGATCAGAAATAAACCCTTGTATAGAAATCTTTTTTATACTCTCGCAACAAAGTTGCTAAAGAGAGTATTATAGTTTTGTTCACATAACGGTTGTTTCTAAGTCCTAAAACTAAAAGAGTCAGATATAGGGTTATATATACCAAAGTGATCAAGGTGACGAGTAGAGTTGAAATCCGGATGTCTGTCTGTCTGTCCGTCCATCTGTCCGTGCGTCTGTCCGTCCGTCCGTGTAAGCTGTAACTTGAGTAAAAATTGAGATGACATGATGAAACTTGGTACACGTATTTCTTGGCTCCATAAGAAGGTTAAGTTCGAAGATGCGCAAAATTGGCCCACTGCCACGCTAACAAAATGGCGGAAACCGAAAACCTATAAAGTGTCATAACTAAGCCATAAATAAAGATATTAAAATGAAATTTGGCACAAAGGATCGCACTAGGGAGGGGCATATTTGGACGTAATTTTTTTGGAAAAGTAAGCGTGGTCCCGCCCCCTACTAACTTTTTTGTACATAACTCGAAAACTACTATAGCTATGTCAACCAAACTGCATAGAGTCGTTTCTTTT